CAAGCTTCACGGAACGCATAGTTCTTGGGTCAACTACAAGTTGGCCAGAAATAAAGCACAGACAAGGCAGAGGGAAGCTAAGTATGAGTACGAAAAGAAACTAGCTAGAGATATCAAAACAAACCCGAAGAGGTTTTTTGCCTATGTACAGTCCAAGGGAACCACACGTGAAAGTGTTGGAACCTTGGAGATGGCTAACGGTAACATAGCTAGTACAGACAAGGACCGGGCTGAGGCGCTGATGGACTACTTCAAAAGTGTCTATCGTTCATCCCCGGATGATGGAGTTAGGAACCACATGGTGGATACCATTGGAAATGAAATGCGGGTGTTAATCGTGAGTAAGGAGGAGGTACGAACCGAGCTCACAAGCCTGTGCAAGCATAAGGCGGCGGGTCCGGATGAGATCCATCCAGCTATTGTCCAGCCACTGGCTGAGGTCATACTAGGACCTGTCACTGACTTATTTAAGGCCTCACTGACATCCGGGGTAGTGCCAGAGGACTGGCGGAAGGCAACCGTGGTAGCAATACACAAGACGGGGTCTAGACAGAAGGCGGAAAACTACAGGCCGGTGAGTTTAACGTCAGTGCTGTGCAAGTGCCTCGAACGAATAGTCAGAAAGCAAATATGTGCACACCTGGTGACCCATGGACTGCTATCCCCTGCACAGCACGGGTTTACGAGGAATAAGTCGTGTCTAACTAATCTAATTATGTTTCTCGACGAGACTACACGTCGATTAGATCAGGGTAGGGCAGTAGAGGTATGTTACTTAGACTTCAGCAAGGCATTTGACTCGGTGAGTCTTACGTTGCTGGACGCGAAGCTACCAACTTTTGGAATAGTCGGGTCAACGCGCCAGTGGCTGAAGCATTTTCTTAAAAACCGTAGCTTCACAGTACGGGTTGGCAGCTACACTTCGAGATCAGAGAGGGTTACAAGCGGGGTGCCCCAAGGCTCTGTTCTTGGGCCCCTTCTTTTTCTTCTATTCATCAACGATCTCACGCTAGAATTGCACAACCCCTGCTTCATCTTTGCAGACGATGTGAAGATAGCGGGCGAGAACTTAACCCAGGACCTAGAAGCAGTTCGCAGCTGGTCGGCTCGATGGGATTTACCCCTGAATCTTGCCAAGTGTCAGATACTGACGAACAATGTTGACTCATCCGGGGACGCAGTGCTACGTGGCACGACGGAGGTAAAGGACCTAGGGATCATAGTCACAAAAGACTTCCGGCCTACTAGACAATGTCAGGTGGCTGCAAATAAAGCAAGAGGTGTACTCTTCAGGCTACGGACCACAGTTACATGCAGGAAGCCAGAGGTGTTCGTTCCGTTGTATAAGGCAATGGTGCGCCCACTGCTGGAATACTGCGTACAAGCTTGGACTCCATACTATCGCAAAGATATGGAGTGTCTAGAGAGGGTACAACGACTGGCAACCAGAATGGTTACTGGACAGATAGGGAAGAGCTATTCGCAGCGTCTGAAGGACCTGAATCTCTTCTCGCTGTCACGCCGACGGACTAGGGGCGACTTGATAGAAGCCTTCAAGATTGTTAAGGGGTTGTCGGGCATAGAACTAGGCAGCCTCTTCGTTCCTGCACCAGAGTGCGGCACCAGAGGACATAGTCTTAAGCTGCTAAGAGAGCACTCCAGGTTGGAGCTGAGGGCCAGGTTCTTCACAAATCGGGTGGTACCCTTGTGGAACAGATTGCCGGAAAATGTTGTAAGCGGCTCAACAGTTGTAGCCTTCAAAAAGGCCTTGGATCTGTGCTGGGATGTGGTTTTCCCGGAGCTGGCCATTTGAGGGACAATAACGGAATAAGGTGAGTCGTTCCTGTAATAATGTATTTCATTTCTACATATTTCGTGGATGAGATACTGCACCTAAATATTCTGCCTTTCAGAAACAAGCAGAACGAACCTTTCACGAGCAGTGTTGGAAGCCAAGGATACTAGCTGACAATACAAGTATCTGGACGCACGATTGGTCTCGGCCACTACTGTCCTGTGCGAACTGAACTGAACTGAACTGAACTGAAGAGAGAGAGTTGCGCTACACCGGGAGGTTTTCGATGCTACTTTTTGTTTTGCGTTGTTCACGCTGATTTTTACGAGTTTGGCGGTATTCGGTATCGCTTAGTTTTCTTCATTTAGGCGTTTTTTCAAGGATGAAGAATCTTTTTCCAGATCTGTCCTGAATTCACGCTCAAAATAGCTGATTTTCGTCCATTTTTTCCATTTTCCTTGTGGTTCAATAAAATTGTTGTAAAAGTACTGGACAAAGGAAGCATATAAAAATTTGGTGGGATGTGTTTTGTTATGGTCGCTTGTTTGAAACACTTTTTTAAGTCACGTCAGTCTCTTGAGAGTGCAATAATTACTGAGGTCCTTTTAATGTCATGCTGGCGGCCGCTGTTATCGTCATCTGTCAGCGAAATACAATGTGGCGAACTTCAATGAACGCTACCAAAATCGCAGTGCATACAGGACTAGTGGTAAAATTTGAGGTGGACATGCGGTGGACCTTCTTTGAAGAGGGGAGGAGGTGAACTGCTGAGTGCACACGCTAGCTCTGCACACATACCGTTTCAGGCATTCTGGCCTGATAAGAAATGACCACAAGAACTCCACTGCTGTTGGTTCGCGCGGCCGCTCTTATATATCTGAATCTCACTGAGATTCTGTTTTCCGTCTCTGCTCGTTACCCTCCAATCGAGGTGATAACGTTCATCACAGGTACTGCGTACCAGTTTTCTTTCACCGTTAGTTCGCCTTCTGTACCAGATCATGATCTGCCTGCTCTGGACTTCAATTGACTTCGCCATTCGAACGAAGTTCATGGAATGACTTGGGAGATGGAGCATTAGTCAACGAAGAAAATCTATTAGGATCAGGACGAAATCCGGATTCATCAACCAAATAACCTAAACAAGAAAGTTTAGCCGTAGCAAAGGTACATTTATCAGGGTTAATGGAAACATTATGAGAACGGAATCTTTCAAGCAAAGCACTCAAACGTTCGTCATGTAAGTGTCTGCTAGGCGAATGGACAATAATATCGTCCTGAAAGGCACATACACCTTGTAAGCCAGAAATGATGGAATTAATGGTAAACTGAAAAATAGCAGGGGAAACACTGAGTGCAAACGGTAGAAAGTTGTAGGGAAATAAACCAAAAGGTGTGTTAATAGTCGTGAGTTCACGGGACTTTTCTTCAAGAGGAATTTGAAGAAATGTATTTTTCAAGTCTAGACTAGAGAAATATTTGGATGCATGGAGTTGGTGCAGAATGTCTTCTGGTTCGACTGTGGCACAACTAGACTGTTTTAGGTGTCTTTTCACAGTGACTCGATAATCCCCACATATCCTAGGAGTCTTCCCGTCACGTTTTAATGGAGTAACAATTGGCGTGGCCCAAGACGAAGAATTTACGGGTGTCAGAACTCCCTTGTTTACCATTTCATCTAACGCCTTTTTTTACCTTAGATTCCGTAGAAGTGGACGTTCGGACCGGTGTTTAGAACGTGGTACTTGTTAGCCTTTTGTTCCATATCCCACGTCTGTGTCTGGACAGTCTTGGCCGAATCAGCTTTCAGTTGATCCAACATTCCTAAGTTTACTAGTTTTACGTCATCCGCTTACTCACTTATCGCATTCATCCGTTTGTTGTGACTGAAACTCGTTAATGTTCTAGTTTCCGTTTACCACTATGTAAACAGTTTCGTGTATTTTATAAGTCTGCTTAACGTCACGGTTGATCTAACGACAAAATTTCTTTCAGATGATCTCAGATCGAGTGCTTCGTTTCGCAGATATTCAAGCTTGTTGTGCATGCCTTGGATTTCGTGAGGGTTCAGTCTATAAAATTGATGCAGATGCAGAAGGTAAAGTTTTTTTGGGTGCTTATTTTTCCGTGTTCATTATTTAGCCTCTATTCGATCCCTGCTTCGTTATCTCAGGAACGAAGGTAGTGATTGTGATGTGCGATTGGAACTGGGCAGACTCAAAATTGTTTCGAGCGATCTGATTCCACTGCTGCGCAGTTGTGCTGAGAACAAAAATCTCACTGAATTGGTGATTCGGCTGCTCATGAATTTGACTCAACCTGCTATCGTATGCTTTCGTCAAGAAATTCCGAAAGATCGTGATTTATACGGTGTCTATGCTCAATTGGATGATCTTCTTAAATCTTACAAAAAGGCAAGTTGTGCCACACATTGCTTATTTAGCAGGATTTTGCTGACGAGGAACTTTTTAGAGTTCTATGCAAGCTTGTTGGCTCAGTATTGGACAAGGTAAGTACTACATAATTCTTCGGTTTTCACGATTCGATGTATTCGCATTATCGCTCTCCACAGTTATGTCATATTTCTATCAACTTTTTACTACCTTCTTTGCTTCTACTTTCAGACATGGGAGGAACGAAGTGAAGAAGATCGTCTGTTCATTGAACGCATTCTGATATTGGTTCGGAATGTGCTTCATATTGCTCCCGAAGTATCAGAGGAAACGGTTCGTTGTATTACCGGTGCCATTTAATCCAGTTTTTGCTCAATTACTTCACCCAGAATACAGATGGAAATGTGTCCGTTCATGACCAACTTTTGTGGGCAATGCATCTTTCTGGATGGGACGAATTGCTCTTATTTTTGGGCAATGCAGAGGATGAACACATGTTCGCGTTTCATACACTGGAAATTATTTCGTTGATGCTGCGTGAACAGGTAAATTTGCCGCCTCGAATTTAGCTTGCGCCCCCAGCTTTTGGCGTCTCAGATATGGTTAATGTTTGCTGTTTCTTCCAGTTTATCACCGAATCTTGTTCTGCGAGACGTTTCAGTCAAAAGATAGTTGCAAAGCGGCGCGGGGCTTCACCGGAAGCGCAAGAAAACTGCGAAAATTATAAGGGAGCGTATTTTAGGGTTAAGCATAACCTGGATTTTTCCCGAATGGAGAATTTTCTGAGTGCTAATGGAGCGAATGGATCAATCAAATTCCAGTATTCTGTCCGTAACCTTAGATTTAACCAATTCAGTAACATCGACAAAACATTTGCAGTGAGGTTAAGTCCGTTTTTCATTGGTTCTGCGGGATTTTCAGGAAAAATTTGGTTTTCCCTGACAATATTCCTCGGCATTCCATCCCTACTGACAGATTTTCTTAGCTGCACAGGATACATCGATCTAGTCCAAATCTCATATGTATAGAAGTCACATTTCTAACGTTTGCTGGATAATTGAATGAGATATGGCAATGGGTCCGACTTCATAATTTCAGAGCCCAAACCTCTTGTATAAGGAAGGTGACCGATCAATTTGGTTACTTAAATTGGCGAATCATTCAACTTCTCAAAAGGAATGATGTTATTTCGCTAAGTGGCATCAAAGCGATGCACTAGAAATATGGGTTAGCGGTGATAGTGTGCACGACATATGAACCGGCGTGGTAGTAAGAGGGACTTGAATCTCTTGATCTTAGCATCATTGGATTCGAGTGCTACCGAAGTAAGAAGCAGTGACAAGTCATTTGCTCAATCAAATGATGGGAATACCTGTGGGATTAGGAAGAATTCATGGCTTATCTTGAAATTTCGTGCAACATCCCACGAATCTTAGCGTAGCTTATCTTATACTGTGTCCGGTGGTCAATAAACGTATTCATCAGGTGGTGGTGCAGTGGCTTAGGTACTGTCACCAGAATGCTCTAAATCCGATGGTCTGAGGTTCGATCACCGCCACCGGTAACCAAATTTAGTGCTAGGTAGCCTTACTGTTGTCCTGTTCAACATCACGCCTAACCTAGCGGAGCCTTATATAATTCGCTTTTCCAAGTTCCGGGGCTCAGGTTGCGGTTTTCAACATTGAACAGCAGGTCCTGGCAAAAATGGGCCTACCCCACATAAAATGTATGCAGTAGAATAAATTATACGGAACATTTTGACAATTCTGGCCAGATGACTGAACAGCTAAGGTCCGGTAATTTATATGGTGCACGACTTGAGACCGTTTCGGTTGCATCACTTATTCCACGTGCTCCAGATTGGACTTCTATAGGTTATACTCACTGAGGCACGTAATGATTGAGAAACTAGCAGGAGGTGTCGGATCGTTCTTTTAATGTTGTGCACCCTGATTCATGCAACTTAGCCACTTTCTGTAGGTTAAACCGTCTGAGTGGAATATGCCCTGTTTGTAACCAGATGCTTTTTATGCTAACAGTGGTATTGTGTTTATTTGCATCCGGATGGTGCTTACGGTGTGGTAAATTTTTGGAACTGGGTGAACGAAATTGGGATTTTATGCAATTTACTTTTCTAGGTCACGGGACTTGGGCCGCATTTTCCGCAAAAAAACCCATAGATCTTTGTGCGGATGGCTTCACCTCTTTTGCTGCTCATCGCTTATATTTGGAATACAAAAGATCACTTATTCAGTGATGGTCTTTTTTCAATCAACCCCATGAGTAGTCATATTAAATTGGAACAGGCTTATGTACCATCTTTGCTGAGGCAGACAATGGCTGGAAATAATCAAGGGCGGCTAAAGTAAGATGTAGCATGAGGGTATGTATACCCTGACCGGGAGACTCGGTCTAGTAGGTTGCTTTAGGCTTCCTAGGTGGAGACTTCGGGATCAGCCGATGGTTAGAGACACCAAGTGATATGATTGAGTATGGAAAACAGTAGCGCTCGTGCATTTGCTCACTGTCCTTGCAACCCTAGTCTACGGGGATTCTGTTTTCACGTTGATACTGCTTTCAATATTCCAAACCCAACCCCTACTCTTCCATTCAAATGAGCAACTAAAAGATGGCAACTAAAACCGCCACACCAAGGTGCGTGGTCAAGTAATTGTGAAGACCAAAACTGTTAATTTGACTAGAATCTAGCCGAAACAAGATGCGGAGTTATGCAGTCCTCTCCGCGCGAATCCATTGGTAAGTTGAAAGTAAATTAATTTGATAGTGATATAGATTACCTTAACAGAACCTATTTGGAAAAATCAATCGATGCTGCACATCACCTTATCATAGGCGTGAGAAGCTCTATCTCCGGCGATAATAATGTGTTTGCAAACATGTTGTATAACTCTCAAGGGATCCAATTTACGAAAACCAATTTCCTACACCTTGCCATTGAAGAATATATCTGTTTCCAGAAATTAGTGAGGTGTTTCATATTACGACCTACGGATGGGCGTTACTCTGTTGTTTGAACAAGATTTCGTTTATCATTTTACATGAAACATTTAGACTCCAGAAATTCTTGCCTCCGCTGGATCTTCCGCTCCAAACTCAATGAAAATGGATGAGTGAGTTGTTCATGTTAAAGAATAATGATCTTTGCTTTAGATTAGCTGAAAGACAGCGCGCCATTGAAGAGGCCAGTAAACGGAAATTTCTTTTCGATCTTGGATCTAGGTGCGTGTTATATTTGACACGATTTCCATACTTCGGAATTACGTGCCCTTTACTTTATATAGTTTTCATGTGAATCCCCGTTGATTTATCTTCAAAAATCTGATAGCCTCTGAGTGGTTGACCTTATTAGTTGAGCGCTGAGTGATATGCGATGGGTCTCGTAAGCAGGAGGCACCTGGGAATATTCGGGATTGAGAAGGACTAGACAGATGGGAGAGATGGTTTTCCAAATGGGTACCCAAGACTTT